CCACGACCAGGATCAACCTCGCCCGCCACGACGCCGTGTCGGAGGCTGCCCGGCCATGCTCAGAGCTGTGTTGCCTGTTTCAGTGCTGCCTGTTTCAGTGCTCGAGTTGCGCCTTCTGTGTGTAATGCCTGAAAGTGCAGGGCTCAGTGTTGTTTTGGTGATCTGTTTGCAGGACTCGAGTTGGTGATCTGTGTAATGCTAATGGCAATTGTGCCTTCTGTGTGTAATGCCTGAACAAAAGGATGTAACCATGTGAATTCTGTGTTTTGAAGATTGAAATAAAATTGATTTCAGCATGTGTTCAGAATTATGTGTTGTGTGCATGGATTCATTGCTACATTCAACGTTGATGTAGCCATGTAAGAAGTGTATGTCAGTTGCCATGCTCGGTGCTGAACAAAAGGATGTGTTCGATTCTTTGTTTTCTTTTTCATAGAGTTATACTTCATCTTTGTTTTTTGATTGGTTTACTGAATGCTTCCTGTATCAAGCAAACAAATTTAGAGTCTTCCTGTATCAAGCAAACAAATTTAGAGTACAGTGACAAACAAATTCAGAGTACACTGACAGTGGTTCTGTTTCTGAAAAGCAAAACACACAGGATACTTTCAGAAAGCATGAAGCTATTAACACTAGGAATGATCATGCATTGTAGCAAACTTGAAATATGAGCCAACGACATTGTTTGGGCAATTACGGGCGTCATGATCCACTAATTGCTTGCATTTTCCACACATCCGTTTTCTTGGTGCCTTCTTCTCCTTGCCCTTTTTAATTCTTTTGCATCGCCCTCTGGAGTTGATATCATTTGGTGGATGTATCTCCACTTCTTGTGGGATTTTGCCACCAAGGAATGCTTCAAACTCATCTTGTTTATTAACTGTAGCAGCAGGAATGATATTTTGGAGAGGTTCTACAAGGTTTGCTAAACTAGAATATAAAAATTCCATTCCTTGTTCAAAGTTTTTGGCCATCTGGATAAGATCTTCAAACTTGTTGCATGAATCTGAAAATTTTCTCCGCATTGCCACCTCCATAGGATCTTTAGCTTTTTCATCGAGAAGGTTACCTTCGTCATCGAAGAAGAGTTCTCTATGAAAATAAAGATCCAATCAACACTATTGCACATACAAAATAATTTTTGAATAGAAAATAAATCAGCCGTGTCAACTCACCTTTTACACCTTTTGTCCCACCTCTTCATAAAATAAATCGATGGTATCTCATTTTGCTTCTCGCCTCTAAGCACTTGGATGATATGACGGCACGGGATGCCATAGGACTCATAAAATTTACAGGAGCACATACCAAACATGTTTGACTTGTTCATCTGAACCACTCGCTCTTTTCCAGACAGGCTGCTGATGGTGACAGTTTTCATATCTTCAGACTCCGAAATCCCTTGAATAATGCAATGGTCTCTTGCAACTATGAGTTGTTCCTGAAACTTCTTTGAAAATTTCATGAGTATATACGACACTACATTGCTTCTCCATGGCACATGGTGTCATCAATTTAGGATTGGTGTGACGACTTTTATTGTCGGCTATCAACTCCTCTTGGCTACCGGCACTCCAAAGTCGTGTCAAACCTTAGCCAAAACTCAACAAAGGATAACTTTCGATGAATGAAACGGTTAAAAAAGAATTTGCACTCTCCGATCGTGATGTAGTCCTAAGAAGTCCCGCTAGAGGTATGTCCATAAAGTATATCTTGGAATCCATGATTCTCGAATGTCAAACTTTATGGAAAACCACTCATTTCCAATGAGCTCATACTTTATCATGATAGAATTCCACTCACATACAAACTCACTTGAATTCTCGTGAGCCCCAAACACACTTGTTTAATACTTCCTAGAATTCCTCATTATTTCTTATGGTGGGCCCAACCTTCTCGTGTACCTTTTCCATGATATGCCACATGCAAAGTCTATGAGTCAGATTTGGTAGAATCGAGCAATAGCAGCCTTTAATGCTCGTGATCTTCATCTGTTATGATTAGATGAGGTGCTACTCCACCCATAGCCTTAAGAAAGGTCCAAACAACCATACAAATGACTCGATCTTTTCATCACCAAGAATGTTGCCCCAAGAAAAACACTTTGCAAGTGATGATTGACTCAAAGAATGGCACAAACTTCATATCATATTGATTAGTAGTATATGTTGAATCTACCAAAGCACATCACCAAAAATAGAATAGTTTTTCCCGCATATGGCATCTCGCCGTAAGACACGCACAAGTCGTCCTTGTTTATCCACCATAAACTCATAAAAGAAGGCGGATTTACTTCCTTCTTTCGCTCAAGTTGTCCCACAAACATTTGTGCATCAAGATCCTTGATTTTGCTCCTCGTGTCACGATAATAGTTCTTCAAATCCTCGGCGTGCAACCAACATTTTCACATCCACCATCATCGACTTGGAGAAGGCGAAATGCCGGGACGTGCCAATGCTAGCCTTATGACAGCTTGAACAAAGTACTCTTTGCCCTCTCACTAACACGACGGTTGGATCTTAGCAAGTGCCTCTTATCCATGACACAAAACCATGGTTGTGCTCCTCAAACATTGAAAATATTCGATACTTCTTGTCACTACCAAGCTTAACAACAATATGTGCCTCACAGCCACATCGGGTTTCCACCACATTTGATGTCTTCCTTTTTTTCCCGGATTGATCACTAACATCGTGTACCTTCTCCTTTCTGTACCCTTCCCTTGAGCAAAAAAACCTCTTGTAAAATATTTCCTCATTTTGCTTCTTGTGCTGACCAACACGAATAGAGAAACCAGCTTCGTGTGCATAGTCCTTGTAAAAATTCTCCACGTCTGTGAGTGTATCAAATGTCATTCCAACCATAGGCTTCGAATGTTCTTTGCAACTATCTGCTATATTAGGAGAAGAGGTTGCCCGTGGTGTGCTTGGTTCTTCAAGGTAGGCTCCAACTCCGGCATCGACGTCCATGATGGTCATGCCGGCATTATCCATGCTGGTGGCCTCAAAGGACGCAGAATCAACGACGACTGCAAGTTCACCATCCGCGGCATGCAGGGACGTTAGCAATGATCCTACTCAAGATGAAAGTCAAGACGGCAGTCTTATAGGAGGGCAAAACGAACTGCATCGGGCAAGGCGCAACCGTGGGCAGCATCGGGCGGCGTTCGTGCAGGCAGCAACGGGCGGCGTTTCGTGGGCAGCATCTCCGAGTCCGCGCCGGTGAGTCATGACGAGGCGGCGGCGGCAGTAGAGTCGAAGAGACGCAAGCAGCGATACGATCTGAAGATGGACCGCGGCGGCTGACTTCGACAAGACTGGAGCGATTAGGGGGCTTCGATTCTACTGGAGCATCGGGCGATTAGGGGGGTCATTTGGAAAACAAAACACAATTACTAGTGCCTGGCGGGCTGTTAAATGTAAAAAAGTCCCACCTCTCTCCACAGCCTTCGGATGAGCATCATGGGGTCCAAATCATTAGTTTGCAAAGTTTGCACAAGTACGATGGTTTGCATACGATACGGAGCCTTTCATCTCACACCGGAACAATGCATCTGTTTGTTGCATAACACACGTCTAAAATTGGCAGCTCAGAAACACTGAAACAGCGCGTTGCATTTGCATCCCATGAAACGAAAGAAATAAGGCTTTTGCCGGCTCGTGCCCCGTCGTCCACTCGACCGAGGAGAGCGTTCGGCCTGGCCCGTCTCGCCGGAACCTCTGGGCAGTTTGGCCCATCGCGGCTGACCACTGGCCTCGTGCGCGCGACCCGCTGCGTCGTGGTGGGGTTGCTCGATCCGCGGAAGCAGCGGGTCGCGGGGCCGTTGGGTAGTGACGGCCTGACGGGGCGACGCCGACGCGACGCGGCAGCCGGCAGTGGGTGCTGGTCGCCTCGCCCGCCCGACAGTTTGTCAAACGCCCAGGCCGAATCCAACGGATAGTCAAGTCAGGCCCCGTTTAGATCAAAATTTTTTTTTAGATTTTGGCTACCGTAGCATTTTCGTTTGTATTTGATAATTAATGTCTAATTATGGACTAATTAGGTTTAAAAGTTTCGTCTCGCGATTTCTCACCCAACTGTGCAATTAGTTTTTTTTTTCGTCTACATTTAGTACTCCATGCATATGCCGTAAGATTTGATGTGACGGATACTGCGTAAATTTTTTTGGAATCTAAACAGGACCTCAGGTGCGGTGGGACCATGTGAATGCTATGATATGCTTACGGAGTGGAGTCTACTTGCTCAGGCCTATTTTAGTTACCAACCAAATTCTAAAAAGTGATTTGCGATACGTGCATAGAGTATTAAATGTAGACGAAAAAAAACTAATTACACAGTTTGGTGGGAAATTGCGAGACGAACGTTTTAAGCCTAATTAGTCCATGATTGAACACTAATTAATAAATAAAAATAAAAATGCTACCGTAGCTGAATTCTTAAAATTCACGAATTAAATACAGCCTCAGTTGCTCTAGCCATCTCGTGTCATGCCGGCTGGCCACTGCCAAGGTGACCAAGCCACAGGCTACAACAATCACTCACCCTCCTGTCGATCAGACTGTATAGGAGTCTGAATGAAAGACGTCAGCGTCGTGCTCAAAGATCCGATCGTACCCAAACAAGAAGCGGCTCCAAACAGCAAAAACAAGCTCGTCTTGGGAAGGAAAAGGAAACTCACGCCTCGTCTCAAAAGCTGCTCCCACGAATTCCTGGAGCAGCAACCAAACCTCGCCTCGCGTCGCACTCGCACCCCCACCCCAAGGCGGCCAAACCCCAAGGAAAACGAAAAACCCAGCCGACCACCACTCCCTGTCTCCCTCCAGAGGCCGAGAGAGCCAGATCACCTCGCCATCTCCCCTCCCACCCCACGTCCCCTCCTCCTCCTCCCACGCGGTTCGCCATGCCGCCTTGCCACCGCCGCTGCTGAGTGCCGCCGGCGCCGTGGGAGGATCCGCCCGCAAGCCAGCTGCTTGTCGCCTGGAGCACGAGCGCCGGCCCCCATGGACCCGGCCTCCGAGGAGCTCGAGCGCCGCAGCCGCTACCTCAGCGCGCTCGTGCGCCGCACCAAGCTCGCCGACCCGCCGCAGCCCGAGCCCGAGCCGGAGGCGGAGGCGGTGGAGGCCAAGGCCAAGGCGGACGTGGAGCCGGAGCTCAAGGCGCCGCCGCGCCCGCACGTCGGCGGCGAGGAGGGTAAGGGAGGGAAGGAGGAGGAGAGGACGGCGGTGGCGGTGAAGGCCGCCAGGGGGGAAATGAAGGCGGCCGAGGGGAGGAAGGTGGCGGTGTGCGTGCGCGCGGCGGACATGCCGCTGTCGCTGCAGCGGCGCGCCGTCCGGGTCGCCGTAGAGGCCGTCGCCGCCATGCCGCGGCTCGAGAGCAAGCGCCTCGCGCTCGCGCTCAAGAAGGTAACCGTCGACACTGGACAGAAAGGTTTTTCTTCTTGTTTATTTGAACCAGTAGTGTCAAAATAAAAAAAATCAAAAGCATGTTCATTTCATCCATGTCTGTGCGTGGCCACAAATCAAGGACAAATGCATACGCAGATTTGTGGCTAAGTCGATTCAGAATAAGATCTAGAGCGTAGGAAGGATTCAAGTAGATGTTTAGCTCTCAAATTTGATGCACATGCTCGGGAGGCAGAGACGTTGCCAGATCAGATGGGTCAAAACTTTCATTTACGAGAGCTGGTCCACTATGCAGCTTACAAATAACTCTATTTATGAGATATGTATAGTGCTCAGAGGATGTGCAAGAGTAGTTAATGCTTTTGCTATATAGGCAGGGCCGTCCCACAAATTTTATGGGCCCTTGGGCCAGTTAGACAGTAAGGACCCGGTAATGTAATATTTGAATAGGACGATTAAAGTATATAATTTGTAGTATATATTTAATTTTTCTTGAAAATGTAACAGTACATCAAAGAAGATAAAAAAACGGCAAAATAACTATGATGGTTACCTCAAATAAAACTACGGTGCTTCAGTGCTTTTTAAAAAAGCGTCTTCGGACATTTCTTGATGCAAAATCTTCAAGAACACTTTCAAGATCAATTATATCTAAAATATTCTTCTCAATGCTGCACATAGCCAAGCCATTTAATCTTTCCTGTAGCATAGTTGATCTCAAACAATTTTTCAGTAGCTTCAATTTGGAGAAGCTTCTTTCAGCTAATGCTAATGTCACTGGAATAGTTAACAGAATCCGATATGCAATAGAGGCATTTGAATAGCAATCTGCAACCTTAACAAAGTGAAGAATCTCAGATGCTGACATCAACTGATCTGACAAAGTTACTTGCAACACTTTTAACTCAGAGAACAAATCATCTAACTCAACATCAGACATGGGTACCCTCATGGGCCCCCAGCCTCATGGGCCCATGGGCATCGCACAGGCTGCCCTCCCCCATAGGACGGGCCTGTATATAGGTCGTCTCTAGCAGTTTCATGTTGCAATCTTATTTCAAATTAATATATAGATGACGGCTAAGCATGCTCTACGGAGACTGGTCCGCCAATGAAGGGCTGATGTTTTTGTGCGACAAGGAAATAGTGAATGCAGGGGAGAGGGGTATAGGAGGATTATTGGAAGAAAACCAGTAAATGTGATTCGTAGCAAGTCATATGATCATGGAGTCACACAGCTGAGATCACCTTTAGATGGAAAGTGCTCAATTTCTGACTGGTAAGGGCAGCTCCAACAATACTAGAAGAGCTAGCTCATAGGATATTTTATTGAGTAAGAAGGAGAGATAATGATAAGTTAGCTCTTCATGAAGAGCTAAGCTCATACACTTTTTTTTATGATGTATGTGTCTATGCTTACACATTTTTCTATACTAGCATGTTGGGTTACTTTATTTTTATCTTTTTTTTGAGCTAGCAAGTGAACTATATTGTTGAGGGTGCTCTAAGTGGTGCTTGATATATGCTGTTGATTCCAGGATATAATGTCTTTGTACCTGTCATCACTGAGAGTTACTCCATCTCCTTGTTGCACGTTATGGCTTCATTGATCTGATCTAATGGTGATGCCAAATGAAGTTCGCCTAAGAACTTCTTCCATATTTATTTATTTTATCACAACAAAATCATCACCGGCCCAGCTTTTAGTGAAAGCTTAACAGAGTACATAACTGGGGGACAGCAGTTTACCACACAGTTCTAAAACAGGTCATTGAGCACAGCACTGCCTGAAACTGACTCGACTCCTACCTCAAGTCCTCAACACACTTAGCAAACCACCAAAAATACAAAAGACCACATTAGTCAAACTGCAAACTTCCACAGCAGTTGCCAACGACCCTCCGGCAAAAACCATCCAAAACAAAACCAAGAATCTTCAACACCAACTATCAGCCACCACTATCTTCAGACTTGCTTCAGATGCTCAGCAAACTTCCCCATTAGCCTTTCCACCTCCACAGACTCTTCCCCTTGTCAAGACAATCTTCAATTGATTAAGCTTTTTGCTCTCTGCAGCACTGTTGTTGGGTCCTTCATCAGCTTGTTGTTGATACCATATCGTTCCTCGTTTTCTGTAGTGCTCAAAGTACACGTGCACAGCAAAATAACATCACTTCTCTAATTCTGGCAGGTTTCTTTCATTTTCTTTTCTGTCTAACTAACTCATGTTTGATTGTCTAACCAACCTTTTTTTTGTCGAACATGCATGAGAGTTGTGTTTGTATGAGGGAGGGAGGGAGGGGGTCCCTTAGGCCTTCCACAGCGTAGGCTTACGATGATGCTTCAAAGAGAGAGTTCTCAGGCAACACTTCTCACACTGCAACTACCGGTGATGATGCCAGGAAATTGGGGAACGGAGCAACTAGATGCATCAATGCCCAAACTGTAAAAAGGAATATTTTGTTCATTGCACACCGATTTCCTGAGGCTAGTTAATTATGCCACTGTTTATTGTTTGTGGGACCCACTAAGATGAAAAAGTTTGAAGTTACGCGCTGCAGCAAAAAACCAAATAAAGCATCACTGTGAGGTAGCAGACATGAACAGTATTAGGCAACACTCACGCTGTGGAAGGCACGACACAACCCACTTATCACTCAATGGAATTAATATGGGGCTGCAAAAAATCAAGCCAAAAAAAAACCATTTTCGCTTTCCCTGTTAAACAATAATGGAGGCACTTAGAATTACAGAGTTAGATTTGCTCCATACTTTTCACATAGCTACTACTTCTACTTGTCTGTGTTGGAGCGTCTTCCTTATTCCTTATCTGCACCCTTTATGCATAAGTTGGTTATGAGTCATGAAACTAAGGTAATAAGATTTGGTTGGTTTTGCCATTAATATTGAGCCAACAACCTCAGTTGTTGCTATTTATGTTCTTTCCCCCTTTCTACTTGGTCTCGTTTACCTGCTAATGCATGTAAAGTATCCCTTTTATTGTATTCTTGAATTTAGCCATATTTCTTATATAGAGAAACAAGAATGCTGGCACCATTGGAAAAACTTTCTTAGATTTCCACAGAAAGAAAAAGGCATGATGTACATGTGACCATGTGGGTGTGGGTTAATGTTAAAATTTGGCAATTTGCTACAACTATGTTGCCAGTTTTTTGTCCACAAACATTCCCTTTGTGTGTTCTCTTCTCTCTTAATGAAATGATACACAATTTTCTTGCATGTTCAAGAAAAGAAAAAAAATGATTTTTTTTTAAATTGTTTGCACATGTTAGCATGCATTGCTCCCTGGATTTTTGTTTGCCCCTGCTAGATCGGTGGTCCTTTTCTTCTCTCTCAAGTCACAAGGTAGTCCTTTTCTTCTCTCTCAAGTCACAAGGTAGTGCCTTATGTGACGTGCCTGATGACCTGCTGGCTGCTGTTGTGTTTGGTTGGAAGTATCAAGCATTTTATTTTCATGATTGTGTTCTTCGATTCTCACTGTTCATGATATCTGATGACTGATTCTTTCCTTCTTCTTTTTTTGTGATTCGAAGGATTTCGATACAACATATGGGCCTGCATGGCACTGCATTGTCGGCACAAGCTTTGGTTCCTATGTCACTCACTCATTGGGAGGTTTCTTGTACTTCTCCGTTGACAAGGTCTACATTCTTCTCTTCAGAACTGCCGTCCAGCCACTTGCTCAGCCGCAATGAGACCTGGGAATCTGTTCACTCAAACAAGTGTAGATGCAGCGCAAATTGTAACTCTGAACAGAATAGATGATGCTCAACACACTGTGGTGCCACGTTTGAGTAGTAGAGGTAATTTCATCTGTACACAAAACCGTAGAACGGCCATGCCCTCTGTAACTTCTACGTCGTACTGTGCTGTTGTGTAAACAATCTTGTGCTGTGGCCTGGAGTTACAGAGCCTGACTGTCAGATCTCAGTTTCCAGCTCTACCTCAGTATCCAATGTACTTCGTGGTTACACATTCGAGCTAGTGGGGGGCCCGTGATGATCTCTCATGTATCTTGCTTGCCAAATGCTAGTAGAGCTGTACTTCCTCCGTCTCTAAAAAGTATGAATCTTATCAGTGAATAAAAAAAAGTATGAATATGGATAAATGGATTTATAGCAAAAATGACATTTTCTTTTTGAGAGAGAGAGGGAGTAATCCTTAGCCGACCCGACCCTAAATGCTCGGTGCCAGGAAAAGATAACAGCTACTTCCTCTCTGTCCCAAAAGAATGGAAGCCTTGCTTCCCATGGACTCAAAAAATCTAAATTTTAACTAATCATGAAATACATTTGTATAATAAACTTAGTTGAAGATTCAAATGTACTCAGATAATATTTTTTATAAATATAACCAAATGAACTCTGTCTATGTTGTCTCAACGTAGCAGGTCCCAAGCCCTAATAAAGGAGGAGGGTTGTGATAGACGTGGCGAGCCAACGTTAAATCTATCCATTCTAATGGAGATGAAACCTGAAAGAAAACCGTTGAGGCGTAACCCTCTTAGCGATGTGCCATATCAGAACCCGGGTATGGTGTTAAATGGGCAAGGGCCGGGTCGGCACCCCCTTGGCGACGCGCCGTGTCGCGATCTGGGCATGGTGTCAAGTGAGCAAGGATCAGGTCGTCGCTTCCTTAGTGGCGCGCTACATCGGCGTCCGGGTGTAGTGAAAAATGAGCAAGGATCTTCACATCTGAGTCGACGAGTGCGAAGGGTAAGGAAGCTAGTCGAGCCAACTAGGATCCGTTTAGGTAGTTGGAATGTAGAGTCGCTTACAAGTAAGTTAAGAGAATTAGTTGATACCGCGACTAGGAGGCGTGTAAATATATTATGCGTTCAAGAGACTAAATGGAAGGGTCAGAAGGTGAAGAAGGTGGACAATACAGGTTTCAAGCTTTGGTACACAGGGACAGTCGCGAATAGAAATAGAGTAGGAGTTTTGATTGATAAGAGCCTCAAGAATGATGTGGTGGGAGTGAGAAGGCAATGAGATAGGATTATCTTAGTCAAGCTTGTCATTGGTGATATGGTCTTGAACGTAATTAGTACGTTTGCCCCCCAAGTAGACCTCGACGAGAGTGCTAAGAGACAGTTCTGGGAAGACTTAGATGGCCTGATTAGAGCTGTACCTAGTAGTGAGAAGCTTTTTATAGGAGATCTTAATGGGTATGTAGGTACTACAAGCGCAGGTTTCGAGGCAGTTCATGGAGGTTTTTGGTATGGCAGTAGGAATTAGGAGGGGAGAAAGTTCTAGACTTCGCGGTAGCTTTTGACCTGATGATAGCCAACACTTTCTCTAGAAAAGAGAGAATCTCATCTAGTGGCCTTCAATAGCGGACAACATTCTAGCTAGATTGACTTTGTCCTCGCAAGAAGAAAGGACAGACGAGCATGCTTGGGTTGCAAGGTGATACCAGGGGAGTGTGTTGTTTCTCAACATAAGCTTTTGGTGGTAGACTTTCATTTTCAGGTGTGTGCCCATAGAGATAAACAAGCTAAGATTGAAAGAACAAGTGGTGAAAAATGAAAGGAGAGACGTCAGAGGTATTCAGGGAAAGGGTTATCAAAGAGGGCTCTTGAAAGGAAGAAGAGGACATAAACAACATGTGGTAGAAGATGGCATCCAACATTCGAAAGGTGGCCTCAGAGGTGTGTGGAGTAACCAAAGGAAGTGGAGGCGAGGCTAAAGATACTTGGTGGTGGAACGAGGAAGTTCAAAGGGCTATTAAGGAGAAGAAAGAATGCTATAGATGCTTGTACCATGACAGGAGTGTGGACAACATAGAGAAGTACAAGGTGGCAAATAAGACTGTAAAGCGAGCTGTAAGTGTGGCAAAGGGTAGAGTGTACGAGGACCTTTACCAATATTTGAGTACGAAGGAAGGAGAGAAAGATATTTATAGGATGGCTAGGGTTCGTGAGAGAAAGACAAGGGACTTCAACCAAGTTAAGTGCATTAAGGATGAAAGGGAGCATCTCTTGGTGAAGGATGATGAGATCCGACATCGATGGCAAGAGTATTTTGATAAATTATTCAATGGTGAGAATACAGACACAACCTTTCAGTTGGATGACTCTTTTGATGACACCAATATGCGCTTTGTGCGGAGAATCCAAGAATATTAGGTCAGAGAGGCGTTGAAAAGGATGAAAGGATGCAAGGCGATGGGATCGGATGGTATCCCAATCGAGGTGTGGAAATGCCTCGGGGACACAGCTATAGTATGCCTAATCAAGTTGTTCAACCATATTTTTCGATCGAACAAGATGCCTGACGAGTGGAGGAGAAGTATATTGGTACCGATCTACAAGAATAAAGGGAATATTTAAAGTTGTACTAATTACTGGGGAATTAAGTTGATGAGCCATACTATGAAGCTATGGGAGAGAGTTATCGAGTATCGCTTGAGAGCAATAATGCAGGTCTATACGAACCAATTTGGTTTCATGCTCGGAAGGTCAACCATAGAAGCCATTTTCTTAATAAGACAAGTCATGGAGCGGTATAGGGAGAAGAAGAAGGACCTACACATGGTTTTTATTGACTTGAAGAAGGCTTATGATAAATACCAAGGAATGTTATGTGGTGGACTTTGGACAAACATAAAGTCCCAACGAAGTACGTCGGGCTCATTAAGGGCATGTATAACAATGTTGTGATTAGTGTTCGAACAAGTGATGGAGACACGGATGACTTCCCCATTAGGATAGGACTACACCAAGGGTCAGCTTTGAGCCCTTATCTGTTTGCCTTAGTGATGGATGAGGTCATAAGGGACATACAAGGGGACATCCCTTGGTGTATGCTTTTTGCGGACGATGTAGTGCTAGTTGATGAAAGCCGGACATGAGTGAATCAGAAACTGGAGTTATGGCGGGAGACTTTGGAGTCCAAAGGTTTTAGACTCAGTAGAACTAAAACTGAGTATATGAGATGTGACTTCGGCACTACTACCCAGGATGAGGAAGATATTAGTTTAGAAGGTCAAGTAGTGCCTAGAAAGGATACATTTCGATATTTAGGATCAATGCTACAGAGAGACGGGGATATTGATGAAGATGTTAGCCATAAAATTAAAGCAGGGTGGATGAAGTGGCGCCAAGCATCTAGTGTCCTATGTGACAAAAGGGTACCACAGAAGCTAAAAGACAAGTTTTATAGGACGATGATTAGACCTGCTATGTTGTATGGTGCAAAATGTTGGCCTACGAAAAGTTGACATGTTCAACAGATAAGTGTCGCAGAAATGCGTATGTTGCGTTGGATTTACGGTCATACAAGAAGGGATCGAGTTCGGAATGATGATATACGTGATAGATTATGGATAGCACCAATTGAAGAAAAGCTTGTCCAACATCGGTTGAAATGGTTTGGACATGTTCAATGGAGACCTCTAGAGGCACCAGTGCGTAGTGGAATCCTAAGCCAGGATAGTAACGTGAAGAGAGGCAGAGAAAGACCGAAGTTGACTTGGGTAGATGCAATAAAATGAGACTTGAAAGGATTGAATATACCCAAAGACTTAGCGTTAGATATGAGTGCTTGAAAAACAACTATTCACGTGCCTGAACCTTGATTGCTTCTACTGGATTTTAATTCTAGCCTACCCTAACTTGTTTGGAACTTAAAGACTTTGTTGTTGTTGTAAATCTAACCAAATGATTATTTATCTTGATGAAAAGTGAGACTTTCATTCTTTTTAGGACAAAGAGAGTAAGACCAGTCTCAGTGGGAGTTTCATGTGAGTTTTATTTGCATTGAATAGGTTGACACATAGATATTTTTTATGACATGACAGTGTATTCTCTTGGCACGATTACCAACTATCTATGAGTCATAAAATTAAATGCAAATTAAACTATGAAATGAAACTTTGTATTGAGAGTGGATGTTTCATCCCAGTTTTATTTTATTCTATCTGACATGGCAGTTTTGGAAACAACGCCATAAAACTATCCACTAAGACTGGCCTAATTGACAGCAGACCGGCAAGTAGCCGTGTCAGTGAGTCAATCAATATAAAAGTTCAAAATAAGTTGACATTTAGAGTAGTCTTAAATCAAACTATTTTAAGTTTGATTAAATCCATAAAAAGGTGCATCAATATCTAATATATTTATTTGGTGTGATAGATGTTGTTACTCTTTGCTATAAAATTGATTAAAGTTAAGCTAGTTTAACTTAGTGTGATTCTAGAAGTTGATTGTTTGGCATGCCAAACGATGGATGCCGAAACAACTCCTTGCAAGAAGCCTAGAGAAGCCAGAATAGTTTTTGTACCGAGAAATCGGAAGCGCTGGAACGTGGTTTCTCCTGGCTCCTAACAAAATTGGCATAAAACTCTACTAAAAAAGCTGCTCCACAAGAGAAGCCAGAGTGGGAGCCATGTCAAACTAATCCTTATTTTTGGATAGAGTGAGTACATCATTAGACTAATCATAAAGTATACGAAAAATAATAGTATTTATGATACAACTTTGTCCCCCCAAAAAATAATTTTGAGTACATTCTATGTTAAAATATCTAAAGTTTAAGCAGATGTATAGAAAAAAATAAAAATGACTATGACACTAGATAGGTATACTAAAAATATATATCATGACAATCCTAATGAGACTTATTTAATATCATAAATTTGATATTTTTATATATAAGTTAGTCAAACTTAAGGTACTTTTAACTTCGTATTATGCTAGAATTGTATTTTTTTTCCTCTACATGGGTACATCTCACTAGATTCATCATGAAATATATCTTTATCTATCTACACCTAAAAAATAAGTACGGTCATCGTTGTATCAATTAACCTTCGCCTTGCTCCCTTCCGCAGGTCCAGCCATGTCTCCGGAGTCCCCCTGGAAACGGAAGCGGACTCTGGAAGCACATACTGTCTTGCCAGCCACGTTACCGTTTATTTATTTCCAAAGAACCACGTTGCCGTTTATTTATTTCCCAAAAATAAACCTCGTACGCGCTCAGGTAGTTCTGCCGTGCGAATCCAGTCCATAAAAGAGACCCCACTTTGCGTGCTACCCGGACGCTCGGCATGGTATCGCCCCGCTTAGTTCCTGCTCTGATTCCTTGTTTTCTAAGTTCTCCTCTTTTCCATGCCTTTCGGGAACTGTCGCGCCTTATCGACGTGTTCTTGGGAGCGGCACCTTCGGATTGATGTACCGCGCCAAGCTCCTCTACAGGTGCGAGGTGGCCGTCAAGCGGGCAGAGCGCAACGGCAATGGTGGCCGACGGCGGCGTCGCTTCGAAGCAGAGCGCGCGCTCCACGTGGAGCTTTTGTTGCCGTCGCGTGTGAACCACCGCAACCTGGTGCAGCTCCTGGGCTTCTGCGGCGAGCGCATCCTGGTATTCTCCACGACCCACCTATACACGACAGCAGCAACCGCGCTGGCTCACTCGCCGCGCCTCATTAACGCGCAGCGCTTCACGGAGCAGCACCACCTTCGCTGCCGCCCCGCATCAGCTACTCTAACGAGACCTACAACAACATGTGACCTCGTGCGTGGTGGCTTCCAGCAAAATGAGACCTCCAGCAACAAGCTCGGCAAGTATGAGGCTACGATGACTTGATTCGTGGTGGCCGGCGTACATGCATGGCCACGTGGACATGATGATATGTGACGTCACAGTGACTCATTTCCCCTTACAAAATAATTGATAAAATACTATCATACATGTACGCCGATCTATAAAAAAATAATAAAAGCCAACTGATTGTCTCATTCGATCAGATCCATAGCCCATGCAACGCACGGGATATATCTATGAATATAACTATACTAGTTCTTCGGGCGCGCCCATGCGCGCGGGTCACTGGCCACACGTATTTTTTAGGAAAAAAAGATATAATCAAGGGGGGTCTGTATTTCGATTTGAGAAAAATCTGAGGAGGTTTTCGAAAAAATCGCTGAGAGTGTCTTTAGAGTGCGGGTTGATTTTTGATAAAAGGAAGGTTTTTTTTGCAAAAAAGCCGGAGCTCATCCGTTCTGGACTGTGGGTTGATTTGAAAATTATCTGAGGTGTTATTTACAAAATATTCTAAGAGAGCCTCTGGAGCGCGGGTTGATTTCCCAAAAACATAAGGGGTTTTTCGTAAAATGACCGCGCCTCGCTCGATCTGGGCCGTCGATGCGGCCGATGACGTGGCGCGCCGTGTGGGCAGCCTGGCCACACGCTTTCTTGTCTTTAGATTTGGAGATACTTGATACTATCTTATATAAATAAAAATCTAGTTAAAGTCTAATTGATTTCTCAAAGATCGAGAACTTCCTTTCAGAAAGATGGAATGATACGACTCTCGCAGGCTTAAAGGCGCTCATTGTCTAGGAAAGGACACAGAATCGCTGTATCAATTTTATCGGTTTTTTAGTCTTAATATACACAACTCACAAAAAGAATATTCAACTCAGAAAGTATCCTGTATTCTACATTTGTACAGATCTCTAGATTTAGAACTTTAATCCAATCCAAAAGTTTAGATAGACCGTTTAGATTTCAGCAATTCACGGATTCTAAAGACATCTTAGAACGAGACACCAAACAGAACACATTCATTATTGAGAATGGGACAGACAAATGCAATTGTCCCACTGACCCTGTGAGGAATCAAGAGAACCAAAAAGCACAGACCAATGAGACCAGCCATTGATTTAGGACCACTCATAATAAACGGCAATGAAAAGGTAAAATGCAAGTGACAACAGTTTAAAGGGCTTCCCAACCCAACCGGACCTGGCTCCAGTGCCCCCGCCTGAAACGAGGGTGGGACACCGAGGCCTTGCCCGGCAACATCTCATATGGGGAGCCCCCAAATTTTCCCGACAATAATCATAACACAGGCTACAAGCGTCGCACCCAAGAAACCAGGGTCCAGATCACATTGCATAGTGTCATTAGACAGCAGCAAACACTAGTACTAGTTTCTAGGCACGTAAAGCCGGCTTTACTGCCCCTCGCTCGAGTCGCGCTTGGGCGCCTCCCTGATCTCTTCAGCAGGGTCCTCCTGCAGCCAAGCACCAGAAATATGATTGTTCAGGGAAAAGGTTGATTTCAGGAAGATTCAGTTCAAGAGTGCGAAGAGAACATAGTGTTAGCGACATGGGTCTTACCGAGATGTCAGAAGTCCATAGGGTCAAGTTATCACGGAGGAGCTGCATGATCAAAGTGCTGTCCTTGTAGGAGTCCTCGCTCAGGGTGTCCAGTTCCGAGATGGCCTCGTCAAAAGCCTGCAAATTGACCAGGAGGGAACATCAGCATGATGTCTTTCACATGTCAATGGTCTCAACTCTCAACAAAGAAACGAACTATAAACAATTAAGATGTCCATTCTTCTTTCAGTCGTGGAAGACTTCAGAACACCAGATAGGGTAAAAAAACATTCAAGCGCATGAGCTAAGCTGGAAGACTTCAGAACACCAGATAGGGTAAAAAAACATTCAAGCGCATGAGCTAAGCTACAATATTTGAAAAGATCAAACACATTGCGATTTAATAGCATGACAAACTACACGAAGTCTACTCGCAGAAACAAAACTGACCAAATACATATACCCAAAAAAATGGAGAATATTGCTTAATGCCCATTTTTTTATGAGCCACTGAGGACCTAAAACCTAAACTATTAGAACAAACAATTTCAACAAGTGCAGAATATACTGTAATATTTTATTCTCATAAAGTCAATTTGACATTGATCTAAAAGGATTTGAATAACTGTTCAAGGACAGATTTAAATTCATTGCAGATAATAGTTTAATACAAAGTAGCAGCCAACCAAAGGACATTACGCTTCTCTTATAATCTGTCTTTTTCAGCTTGTTTTTTCAGCCGGAACAGTGTTTCGGCTTGTTTTTTCAGCAAAGCGAACGGGGCCAAAAGGTTAGGTACACCCAATAGGATGCTCTAGTGTGCACACACTCAGCACAACAGTTGACTGCAATTAAAAGGTGTTGTCTCCCAAAATACTGATTCCAAGAAATTTCCATTGTTGCATACGTCAATGACAGAATAGTGAAGAACCAAAATGTTAGGTTTCCTGTCCATATCACAACTTGTGCACCAACCAATCCATGTATAAAAAGTACACATTTATGACTGCAGGTGTGACAACGGAAAACAATTACTCCCTCCGTTTTTTACATGATGTATTAGGTGCCTTAAGTCAAATGTTTCTCACTTTGACCATCAATTTCAAAAAAAAAAATATCCATGTAGTTTCACATGTGAACCACATATACTATGAAAGTATTTCTCATAGTGAATCCAAAAACATAAATCTTTTGTTGTTAGCCTATATTTTATTAAAAAAAAACAAAGGTGCTCAAAGATAGAAATATTTGACATAGGACAAAACTAATATGCATGTAAAAACACAGGGAGTAGTATTTTTCATTAGTGCAGTTTTAAACTTTTAATATCTAATATCTGGAGGGCTTCATAGTTCATACACCAGAAAAATTAACTTAAAATTCTCACTAAAGGGTTGTAGCATTGAGTCTAGTGATGCATCAAAGGAGAAAAAGGCAACATAGCAAATATGGTCCTCTAGTGATAATATTGTGATACACTAACGCCCTATATGCCATTTTCCCCTTACTGCTCAATTAACAATGGTCTAAATCATTTCATAAGTACAGCATATCATCAAAAGCAGACCAGCAATTCCCTACACAAGCACTGCACATCCACATAGATAATATACTAACAAAACATCAAATGATGCAGAAAAACAAACCTGCTTTGCAAGACTGCAGGCGCGATCAGGTGAGTTGAGAATCTCATAGTAGAACACTGAGAAGTTAAGTGCCAATCCAAGCCTAATAGGGTGAGTTGGAGCAAGCTCAGCCAAGGCAATGTCCTGAATGCACCACAAACCCCTTTTCAGCAAACTTGTAATAAAACATGACATGAAAAAAATTAGCATAATGTTTCACAAACAAAATTGCACACTGATTAAGAAATGAAACAAAAAATTGTTGACCTGGGCAGCCTTGTATGCCACCATGGTGTTCTCAGCAGCGTCCTTTCTCTCAGCTCCAGTCTTGAACTCAGCAAGGTATCTAATCATGACAATTGAATCAGTCAAACGAAAACACAATCCCAAAGAAAATGTGGAAGTCTTACTGGGATTCATATAATCATATTACCTGTAGTAGTCACCCTTCATCTTGAGATAGAAGACCTTGGACTCGGGAGCAGTTGAAGAGGGCACAAGGTGGGACTCGAGCAGCTTGAGGATGCCATCACAGATCTTGGTGAGCTCAGTCTCAATCTTGCCACGGTAGTCCTTGATGAGTGTTACACGGTCCTCATTGCCTCGGCCCTCCTCCTTCTGCTCAATGGAGGAGATGATGCGCCATGAGGCGCGGCGGGCTCCAATGACGTTCTTGTATGCAACAGACAGGAGGTTGCGCTCCTCCACAGTGAGTTCCTCAGAGTCAACAGTCTTGGCTACCTTCTCCATGAACTCAACCATCTCCTCGTACCTCTCTGCCTGCTCGGCGAGCTTGGCCATATACACATTTTCCTCACGAGAAAGCTCTGCTGATGCCATCTTACAGTTCAGTTTTCAAAACTTTTCAGTACGCCGGATCTGCAGGGTTGGGGCAAGCAGTAAGCTAACTTCATCGCACGATTAACACTTTATTGATCTGTGGCACGAATAGCTATTAGCTAGTCGAGATCTCCAGCTAGTCATATTCAGACGGGGGAATTTCAGAGGAAAAAGTAAATTCTAAGCATAAAACAAGGAAATTCATGGTCTAGTCAAGGCAATTTTAACATTAACTATTTGAAAAGGAGAGGCTACTACAGTATCTGCTTGGCGAATTTTGCCTACAATAACCACAACTAAACCTAGCTGAAACATGTCTATTAGCTTCCAACACTTCCTCTAACCTTGAAAAGCGCCAGATCTGAGTACCTAAGTACGAACTTCCAGCGGTAAAAACTGCCGCTTAATATGCACGACACAGAATCAACTGGTTCGACTGGAGTACAGGCTTTTGACGGATCCGTACGCGTACAACATCAGATCAAGCGGGCATGGATCCCGTCCTCGCGCCTACTCGATCTAAAGCGACCCAACCACCAGCAGTAGCGGCGCCCCAAACCCGTGCGGAAACGAGATATTTATAATACAAATCCAACGAAAGGGGATCGAAGCAACAGCGATCCAAAATCAAGAGAGGAGGAGAAGCCGAGGGACGGAGGAGAGGGAGAGCGTGGGGTACCTCTGCGTGCGTCGTGCTCGTCGAGCTCCGACGTTCGAATTGGGGGTGCGCGAAGAGACGGCGCTGCCTGGGGTCTAGAAAAGGGCTGGTCTCCGAGTCCCGCCACCCAATTATATGGTGACGCGTGTCGGCGCCACCGTGGCAGCCCTAGTCCCGCGCGGTGCATGTGGTCATCTGGCCCACCGGGCAGACGGAGCGGAGGCGGAGCCATCGACGAATTCAAGGCCGTCACGACGTGTGGGGACCGGACAGCCTGCTCCACATGTCAGGGTGGCCCGCACGCGGAGCCTGCCTGCCTGCCTGCCGCTGTGATGGTGGGCCCGGTGCCGCCCTGGTGATAAGCTCGTCGGGTCGGGCGCCTCCGGCCGCCGGCCCCACGCAGCGAGACGACAGCCTGGAGGCGTTGGACCGAGGGGGCGGCGCGGGGCCGAAAGGAAAAGGAAAAGGAAAAGGAAAATGATTCTTCTCGCACGGGCCGCAAAGCTGCCTGGGTTCACCGATCCGTGGGCCCGCGTGGCTCGCTGGCCACGTGACGTCCCTTCGTGCGTCGGGTGCGGGTAAAGAACTGGTGGGTGCGGGCAGGATGGATCTGGACCTGGACGGCACAGGGCGCCGGCGGGGCGTGGGGAGCGACAGGGCGTGTCGCTGAGGAGGCCGCGGGGCCCACTCCTGCGCGAGCGTCACGTGACGTGTGGCGCGCGGCAACGACTGCCAGTCGGATCGAGACATGGAGTGATGGGACTTGCAAGATGAATTTAAAATCAACTCAATTATTAGATATTTTGGTTTTTTATACATTATTTTTACTATATATTTAAATATAGTGTATTTAACTGCATAACAAATATTATATATTTAGAAAAGTCAAAATGTTTTGTAATTTAGAATAGAGAGATTAAGTTTTAATTCAAAACTAAATGTGGATAAATATTTTTATTGTGAATAAAAAATAATTTTAATTGGATTCACATTTAGATACCTACCTGGTTGTAAAGAACAAATATATTTGTTTTATTGATTATGTTAATAAAAATCATTATACATGTAAAAATTTAAATTAAATTATATACGGAGTATTTATTAATAAATATTTCTATTTTCTAAAATATATCAAATAAAGACAAAGATGTAAATAAATAATTTAGTATAGATATATATTTATTCATCAATATAGTAAAATATATAAAGCAATCTTCAATATGTAAATAAATAATTTAAACTATTTAAACTTAATATGATTATAACCATACTAAATTGATTAAACTTAACCTTTGTATATTATTAGTTATATTAAAATTAATATAATGTCATTAGCAGTAGAGATGAACTTTAAAAAGTTTAATCATATGTAATATTAAAATTAATATTTTTACATTAATTATTAGTCATAGGTACAACTTTTAAATATAGTTTCACTTGCTACTTTATTCTTCACATATACATATCTTATCATATATTTCATATATTTTTTAATATTGGTCTGAAATTGAATAGAGAAATTTTTTAAAAAAATGAATTTTAGATATCTATTTAACCTTCATATTAGAATCGGTTCAAATATAGATAGCTATATTGATTTTTTTAATGGATACATATATTGGATAATTTATAAATATTTAGGCATGCGAGTCCATCCTAGCTACAACTACGAGTGGTAGGGAACCAAGAACGGGACATGGATGTTGGACAGATGGACAGAGTTGGGCTTGGCAGCGCGACGACCAACCGCCCATATTCTGAGCCACTTAGTGGCGGCCGTTGACGTTTCCAATGTGCTACATTTTTTGTAGACACCTCGATATAATATGGGGTGTGCGTCATTTCGCTACTTCGGTGTCGACGCTCCCTCTAGAGATGGAGCTTTGTATAAACTATATGTGTCGCCACATGATTCAGAGCAACTGTAGTAATGACCTCTAAAATAGGGCTCCAAGTTGGGATCTGGGAGTTTCTTCTATTTTTGAGGTTAGACTCAACTGCAAAATTAGCCCTCAAATTAAGGTTCCTACCTTTTTTAGGCTTATTTATTAGTCATAGTATTCTTATTCTTTTTTCCTCTCCTATTCCTGTCCCTGCTCCTGTCCCAGCCTAGCAATGAGGAGCTTGCCGGGGAGGAGATCCGGGCCTAGGGCTCACCGGGAGGGGCAGGCTTGGCCTCGATGGTGGCGCAATGAGAGCGAATAGGGCGGCGGCACAGGAAAGAATTGGGACGAAAAAAAGATGTGCATGAGGGAGCTGGTACGATGAGAAAAAAAAAATCTAGAAAGAAGTAGGGACCTCCTCATGCACTCCTGAGAGATGAGATTGTTACGAAAGATTTAGAGGCCTCTACAAGATGGGGATTCGAGTTGGAACTCTGTTGGATTCAATTTTTTAACTCATAACACCAAAAACTGGAGTAGGGGCTCTGTACAGACTATATGCACCTGTCGTTACATGAATACATGATTCATACGGGATGAAATTGGGAAGCAAAAACTACCTCTGCGTTTTAATGCCAAGAATCGTGCATCAAAATGCGAAATCACTCAAATGTGATTTTAATTTAAAAAAGACATTTTGTTTCCTATGTGAGAACCTGGATATGGAAAATGCCAAGTGGGCTGATAGAAAATTTAGCTATTGTTACCGGGTCGTTGTCATTCTCCTGCTGAGATGTCCAGTCTCCCTTTCACAAACAAGAACATCCAAGTTTGAACGTAAATCCCCTGTCACCTGGTCCAAATTTACGGCTAATGATGGCACGCTCTGTGTTGATACCATTGTTTTTTACTCCGCCCGCAGCCTTGCACACCTATCTCATTTGCCAGTTGCCACCATTTGTCTTCCTCCTTTAGGTGACGTTTGAGGTTAGAACGGGTAATTGAGCACTTGCTCTCTCTTCCTCCCTCGTATTCCCTATTTCCCTTCCCCTTCCGCAGTTCGGCCCTTCCCACGGCTAGGTGAGGCATCAATGTTGAACTATCGCGATTAATATTCGAGTCAATTCTAAATATCATAGTGCTACTAAGTGCAGCAGATTAATCTATGGATTGACAACCACTGACTGCGTTGGCTATGACTAGTATTACTTTCAAGTTCTACCAATGTTGCCGTTTTATATGTTACCATGTCTACTTAATCCGTCATCACAATTCCTTACCAGGTGTACTATCTTAAACTTGTTTTTGATACATATTGGTAATATAGGTTAAATCCTAACGCTCAGAAAAACAGTATCTATTATTTTTTAGAAATAAGTTCCAATTAAACGTTTCTTTCAACACATATGAACTAAAACTAAAGTAGCATATAAATCGGAAACAACAACATAATATTTTGCTATTTCTGCACTTTGTAATCTTTAATATGTCATCACTGTATGACAACAGGTTAGTTGGCAGAGGGTGTCGTGGAATATGATGTCTACTATAGGGAGCTCTGAGCCTATGACATAGTTTTATAACAGAGAAAAAAATTCAGTTCAACCAAAGCTAAATTTGTCGAGAATCAAACTAAGAGGGTTTTGGGCTGATCTTTGGTGTGGTACTTACACTTTGATGGAAGCTTCTCCGACCCCTTTTAGTCACACTTTAAAACCAAATGCTTCTTTTCGAAGTCCTTCCTGGAGAGGATCCCATCCTCTTTGAGGCAGAAGAAGTCTGACGCATGTTGGGCCTGTTTGGATGCTGCCTCCCGGGCACCTCCGACGCCAGGTAGAGCCCCCAGGCGTTCAATTTTCATCGTCTGGGGTTGAGATTGGTTGCCTGGCAGTCACGCCCAGGCGAGGGCGGCATCCAAACATGCCCGTTGCTACTCGTGAGCTTGATGAACTAGGCTCTCCTCCGTTAATCTTAGCCCTGATGTATCTAACACTAGTCATGAGAAGTAACACCCTAAATTATAGGTTTTGCAATTTAATCAATTTGCCCTGTTCGCTTGAACTTATCAGCACAACTTTTCAGCCATAGAACAGTGTTTTTCTCTCACAACAAATCAGCATCAGCATCAGCAGAAGCCTTTTTTTTTCAACCAGCCGAACATATAAATCATAAGCCACACGCATCTTGCATTCATTGCCGTTGCATTTATTATTTCTGCATGCTTAATTTTAGTTTTCTGAATTTTCTCTGCATACAATAGCTTTATTCTCGTCTCTAAAAGATCCATTTTAGAGGTTTCAAAGGAAATCTCTTTTATTTCTGCAGCAGTCACCTTTTAGCATGCTTCCCTTTGTTTTGGGTCGAGCCTAGCTCTGGTTGTCCCTTCCCATGTCCTCTTTCTCTGTTTCTTAGTTGGGCTGAGGCCCAACAAACTCGGATGCACGGGAGCGGGACACCAACCTAGCAAAGCAGCCGAAGCCCTTATCCTTGCTAAAAAAAAGCCGAAGCCCTTATCCCATTCCTCATGGTAAAAAAATTATTCTACCTCCCTGAACTATCATCATTCTTATTTTTCACCTTGAACTCGAAAACCAAACATCTTAGCCCCTGAAAGTCCCAAAACCATTTAAATTATCTTCATGTCATGGTTTGGAATGGTTTTGAAGACGAGTTTATCTTTTACAATTAAAAAAAAAGTAATAGTTGGTGATGTAGGCCGTCGGAACTTCCGACGTGCTCAAAACTAAAGAGACCAGGCACCGACAATGCTATGTTAATTCAAATTCGGACAATGCTCAAAACTAAAGTTAGTTCATTCAAATTCCGGGACTTCTTCCTATTGAAGCTAATTAGTTGGATTCTCTTTTGTTGTTTTACCTAAACCAAACCGTACGACAATTTCACTTTGCATTTGCCACTCAGCTATTGTCGCCATGGCATGCAGCTCCCTGTCCGGGCATGTACTTGTCCAAAGAAGAATCCGATCGGCATTGGCGGATCCAGGGGGGCTGGGGGGCTGCAGCCCCCCTCGTGAGCCTCAATTCCTCGTTAAATTACTGTAGCATCAAGCATAAATCATCATTAAATCTTCATTATCAATCAACATGTCCATTACTTAGCCTCCTCCTTATCCCCTGAATCCGCCACTGCCGATCGGTGACGGAAACGATCGTATCACATCCGTCGCTGCCCTTCAGGAGTGGCCATGTCGCCTCCCTGCCTCGAGCCCCTCCCTTCGGCGCAGCTCGCTGGCTTTCACTGCTCAAAGCAAAAGCCGGGAACAGATGCTTCAACTGCTTCACGTCGGACCACCACATTGGTGAGTGCCGGGACCCCCCCTCGCTGCCTCATCTGCTCCCGTTCCGGCCACAAAGCACGTTTCTGTCGTGCCACGACGCGCAAGGAACGCCTCGCCCCTCCAGTCATTCTTGCCTCCTGCTCTGTGCAGGATCACCCTCCCTTTACTTTGCCGCACGGCGCCCCTTCCTTGGCAAATGCTCCACCATCCCTCCCATCCACCGTCGCGGCAGTCCCACCCGTTCCACAACCTTCCAACCCTCCTCCACCATCCAGCAGCAAGCAAGGTGAACGGCGAAGGGCGCTCATCCCCTTTTCGTCGCGCTACACGAAGAACTTGAAGATGACGGCGTTCCTGCCGCCCATGGAGCGCGGCGGCCCGGAGTACGTTCCGGGCGCCGCGTACAGGAGGCCGGAGCACGTCACCGTTTGTGTGCCCCGCTCCGCGGCGGTGCGGGAGGATGAGCGATTGCTCTCCTTAACCGCACTCATCGTCGTTCCGGTGAACTGCCGAGTCCAGCTGTCCGTTGATGAAGTGCGAAGGGACGTGCTTCGGCAGCTCGGCATCCAGGACCAAGACATGGGAGTCAAGCGCCTCTCTACGGCCATGTTCTTGTTCCACTTCTCCACGCCTGAGCGCCGGACTGCTACTCTGCGGCTCGACGGTCTCTACGCCGGCCAAACTGCCCTCCGTCTTCTACCTTGGACCAGGCAAGTTAATGCTTCAGCAGACAAGCTTATGTTTAGAGCAAGGGTCTGTTTAGAGGGAATCCCAGAGCATGCTCAGAAGTTAGAGACTATAGCCAAGTTGTTTAATGCACCATCGTTCATTGAGGCAGTTGACACCGAATATAAAAATGATCAAGAACGGGCGTGCATGTGTGTCTGGATTTGGACCGCCAACCCGGTCGGTTTAGCAACCACGGCCTGTATGCAAATAGCTGAGCCAATTACTTTCCCTGAAGAATTTTACTGGCAAATGGGGGATGTTGAATTGCCAACCACTAGGTCTGCTCCTGCAGATATGTTGGAATATCAAGTTATCATTCATCTAGACAGGGTTCATGATTACTCCCCCCTTCCCTCAAGCCCTTCACATGAAAGCATGCATAGTGGAATAAGTGGTCTTCCTGATGATTTAGAAGAGGCAGAATGGCCAGTGAAACATCGGTTTGTTTGGCGGTATGGAGTCCCTGATAATAGAATCCCACCAAGCCGCCGTCCCTCGGTGCATGAAAGAATTGGGACTAGAAGGGATAGATCCCCTTCAGGAGGTTCTGGAGGAGGAGGGCGGAAGGCCATGCAATTCCCTCCCCCAAATCTTCATGACCTCAGGCAGGCAGGCTTAGGAGAATCCAGTGGTGCAAACAATGGACAAGAACAAGGCAGGAGAAGTTTTCATGGTAGAAGGAGAAATGTGAGTTTGCAGACTGAAGGAACTGAAGCAAGCAGCAGGACACAAGGGGTACCAAATTGACCAAGTTTAAGTGCTCTGCGAAGGTTTGGAAACCAATTTCAGGAGTTCCAGATCCAATTTGCCGGTCTGATGCAAGAGAGGTGCAGGTTTACAGTCTGGACCCAATGCTTGGGGAAGCTTTGATGGGAACAACCAACGAATACTGTTCACTGTCAGGAAAGAAGCAACAGACACAGCTAGCAGGTTTGGTGCACTGTTCCAAACCATTGAGGTTCCAGGAGCAACAGGGCAGGCAGTGGGTCCAAGACATGAATTCAAACAAGTTTGAATGCTTGGCAACTGAGCCTGAAAAGCAATCGAGGTATAGGCCGGCCTCTCAGCCTGCCCTGCATCTTGCCGAAAACAAAGTGCAGCAACAGGAATCCCATTTGAAGCCTAAACCAGCAAAAGACAGCTCTGAGATTTTGAAGATACAGGCTTGGGCAACTAGTCTTACTGAAGCAGACCTCCTAATTTTCCCAAACCAAAACAATTTTTTCAGTGGCACTTTGCACGAAGATATCAACCTGAAACCAGATAATGACCCCATGGCAGAGGAGGCTATACTAGTACCGATACAGAGGACTAGAACAACCTATGAAATGGGCAAGTGGACTAGGGAAGACAGCTATATGGAGCATGGGCAAGAGATCTCACGGCAACAGAATCTGGAACACTGTTCAAGGCCTGAAACCAACCGAGAAGCTGGCCATGAGGGAAGGGGTCACGAGGCACCAAACAAAAATGATAAAATAAATCAATGCCTACGGCCGAGAAGACACCAATTGCACCTGAGCACTGTGCAAGGGCGACCACACCCCAAATCAATGCAAAAGGGGAAGACACCAATGGAGAGAAAAAGTCAGACGCTCAACAACACACCCTAACTCCCATCACAGCTAAGGTGGTGTTTGGTTGTCTCTTCTAAATCTTAATTGTTGTTCCATCAAATGTTTAGACACATGCATGGAGTATTAAATATAGACTAATTACAAAACTAATTACATAGTTTGCGACTAATTTGCGAGACGAATCTTTTAAGTCTAATTAGTCCATGATTTGACAATGCAGTGCTACAGTAAACATGTGCTAATGATGGATTAATTAGGCTTAAAAAATCATCTCGTGGAGTGCTGACGGATTATGTAATTTTTTTATTAGTATCTGAATACCCCATGCAACATCCTCCCGACACACCTCCTAAATTTTAGTCACTGGATCCAAACACCACCTAAGACTGGTTTGACTGGTCAGTCTTTCAGTGAAGATGCAAATACGCAGGGGCCAAACAAGACCACACAGTTAGAGATGACAGAGGAGAAAGAAAATAGGGAGCAGGAATATGGTGAAGAGCTATTTCACAACCCCAACACTGACGTTAGCCCCCCTTTGGCAGGGCTTTTACCGCGGCTCCTCGAGCGGCTTCGGGCGAAGCCCTGCCAAACGGCGACAGGCAAAATGGCTTGCGGCAAGAAGCCGGCAAAAGCCCTGCAAAACCCGTTGACTCAGTTCCTCCCCACGCGAGAAACCAAAAATACTGGCTTATTCCGACTCGAGCTCGTCACTTTCCATCCCTGTCCCCGGCTTGCTCTCCTCCCTGACGCCGCGCGCCGACGGCCGCCTCCCTACGCTGCCCCGTCGGCCTTGAACTCCGCCCCGCTGGCTTCTCCATGCTCCACTCCGTCGGCCTCGAGCTCCGCCCCACCGCCGGCTTCTCCCTGCTCCGCTCCGCCCCACCGCCGGCCTCTCCCTGCTCCACCCCGTCGGTCTCCAGCTCCGCCCCGCCGGCCTCGAGCTCTAGCTCTGCCCCACTGTCGGCCCCTCCCTGCTCCGGTGGGCCGGCCTCGAGCTTCGCCCCGCCGGCCTCCTGCTACGCCCGAGAGAGAGAGAGAGAGAGAGAGAGAGAGAGAGAGATGGATGGAGGGAGTGGGTGCCGGTAAGGAGTAAGGCCGTTCGGATAAGGAGAAGAAAAGAAGGGAGAAGGAAAGAAAAAGAAAAAAAGAAAGAAAAATGAAGAGAAAAAAGAAAAAAGAAAAAAAATATAAGGGTATTTTGGATATTTCACATCTTCTTTACACTAGGAGAAGCCGTTTTGCCAAACATTTTCGTACAAAATAACCCAGAGTCAGAAAAATTTGCTTTTCCATACGAGCCAGAGCCAGAGCTGTTTTTTCACGAGCCGGAGCCATGCCAAACGGGCCCTTAATATGCAAAACAATGCTGAAGCTAGGCGAAGCAGCATGCCAGAAATGCAAACTACAGGGAGGGAATGTCCCATATCGGCTACAGTCTTCGAGCCACTAGTGATGACTGTCGGATTGCCTACAGTGAATGAGCTGCTGAAAGCTCCAGTTTGGTTTTGGTGAATTGATGAAACCCTAAGTGCTAACCTAGTTTATCAAGTGATCATAAAATAGGTAGCACATTTCAATTGGTGAAGCAAATGAAGATCATGACATGATGATAGCGATGTCATGGTGATGATCTAATGCTTGAACATGAAAACAAGAAAGAGAAAAACAAAAAGCTCAAGGCAAAGGTATAAATGGTAGGAGCTATTTTGTTTTGTTGATCAAGACACTTAGAGAGTATGATCACATTTAGGTTTGATAGCCGTACTATTAAGAGGGGTGAAACTCGTATTGGAATGCGGTTATCAAAGTGCCACTAGATGCTCTAACTCATTGCATATGCATTTAGGATCTAGTGGAGTGATAACACCCTTAAAAATATTTATAAAAATATGCTAACACATACGCACAAGGTGATACACTTTGTGGTTGGCATATTTGAGCAAGGGTAAAGAAGATAGAGTTGAAAAGGAGTTGGTCACACAGTGACCGGACGCTGGCCTCGGTTGGACCAACGCGTCCGGTCAATAGAAGCTGCAAAGACGCTGGTGTTGGTCTCTGACCGGACGCTGGGACACTTGGTGACCGGACGCTGAAGTGGTGCGTCCGGTCATGATGACATGGCAACTCATAGTGAAGAAGGTGAGTGACCGGACGCTGGGTGAGTCCGGTCAGGAATGACCGGACGCGTTCGATCGTAAAAAGTCGTCTCTGGATGCTTACTGGAAACGACTGGACGCTGGGGTTCAGCGTCCGGTCACTTTGAGCTGCTGCGTCCGGTCATCTCTTGACCGTTGGGATCGGACGCTCAGTATTTGAAGAGAGGGGACACGTGGCGTACATCGCGTGACTGGACGCTAGGGTTCAGCGTCCGATCGATCTGACCAGAGCGTCCGGTCACCCCGTGTTGTGCCCAGTGAAGGGGTACAACGGCTCTATTTCATAGGGGCTTCTATTTAAGCCCCATGGCCAGCTCAAGCTCACTCTCTTGGCCATTTGCATTGACATAGCAACCTTGTGAGCTTAACCAAAGCCCTCCCACTCATCTTCATCATAGATTCATCATCTTTATGAGATTGGGAGAGAATCCAAGTGCATTGCTTGAGTGTTTGCATCTAGAGGCACTTGGTGTTCGTGTTTTGCTGTGGGATTCGTTTGTTACTCTTGGTGGTTGCCGCCACCTAGATGGCTTGGAGCAGCGAGGATCGTTGAGTGGAGGTTGGTGATTGTCTCCGGCTCCGATCGTAGTGATTGTGAGGGGTTCTTGACCTTTCCCCGACGGAGAGCGAAAAGGTATTCTAGTGGATTGCTCGTGGCTTGTGTGATCCTCATCTTGTGTTCGTTGTGCGGCACCCTATTGAGGGTTTGGCGTGTGAAGCCAATTAGCGTGTGAACCTCCAAGTGAGTGAATTGCCACAACGAGGAGTAGCTTGTCGACAAGTAAGTGAACCTCGGTAAAAAATCACTGTGTTCATCATTTGATTCCGAGGTGATTGGTCTTCATTGGTATTCATTCTTGTGACTGATTGGTTCACTCCTCGACATGACGATATAACTATCTTGCTCTCTCTCTTCATATTACCACAAACTAGTTATCAAGTTCTTTAGTGTAGCTAGTTGTGAGAGCTTGTTAGTTTGGTTAGTGTGGCTCTTTAGTTTGTCTTTGAGAGTACGCTAACTTAGTGTAGTGCCATAGCTATTATGTGGGTAGAAACAATAGAAACTAAAATTGTGGTAGGTGGCTTGCATATTTTAGTAGGCTAGCGCAACACTTGCTTCGCCTCATAATTATCTAACCGGTTTGTTAAGTGTTGTTGTAGAAAGTTTTATTAGGCTATTCATCCCCCTCTAGCTATTAGGACCTTACAAGTGGTATCAGAGCTGAGGTCACCGTGATTTGAGGCTTAACAACCTTCGGTGTAAAAATGGCTCAAATCAACAATACCAAGAAGCCACCCCAATTTGATGGCACAAATTATCCATATTGGAAATCAAAGATGACCACACATATCAAGTCAATCAATAGAAGAGTGTGGAAGGTGGTAGAAAGCAAAATTGAGATTGAAGATCTGGAGAATCCCACCGTGGCCGAAGAAGTACTTCTCCAAAACAATGATATTGCTTTAAGTGCCATTCATGATGCAATTGATGAGAGAACATTTGAGCAAATCAAGAATATTGAGATGGCTCATGAGGCTTGGAAGAAGTTGGAAGAATCGTTTGAAGGCACTCAAGCCATGAAGGACGCAAAGGCATACATTCTCAAAGAAAAGTTTGCAAGCTTCAAGATGAAGGAGGATAAGAGTATGCCAGAGATGTTCCATAGGCTTCAAGTGCTTGTCAATTATCTCAAAGCACTTAGAGAAGAGGTGAAGGACAAGGACTTCTCCCATAAGTTCTTGAGATGTTTGCCTTCAAGATTTGGTACATTGGTTACTATTTTAGTGAGGAGTGGTTTGGACACCATGACACCAAACCAAGTTTTGGGAGATATAATGACCGATGATACATATAGAGATGATGATGAGAAGAAGAAAGATGAGAAGAAGGATGAGAAGAAGAAAAGAAGAAGAAGAAAGATGAGAAGAAAGATGAGAAGAAGAAGAGTGTGGCATTCAAGGCCACATCATCCAAGGGCAAGGCAAAACAAGATACATCAAGTGAAGATGATGGTTCATGGGATGATGATGATGATGATGATGAGAAGATGGCTCTCTTTGTCAAGAAATTTGGCAAGTTCATGATGAAGAAAGGGTGCCGTGCTAGAAGAAAGAAATCTTCATCCAAGAACAAGGAAGAGTCAAGAAGGTGCTTTAAATGTGGAAGCAAAGATCATCTTGTTGCTCAATGTCCATACAATAGCGATAATGATGATGACAACAAGAAGAACAAGAAGAAGGACAAGAAGGAAAAGAAAGAGAAGAAGGACAAGATGACCTTCAAGAATAAGAAGGGTGGTTCATATGTGGTCACTTGGGATAGTGATGCTTCCTCAAGTGATGATGACAAGACCACCAAGAAGAAGGCACTTGCAAGCATTGCCATCAATGAGAAGCTTCTCTCTTCGACACTCTATCATGCTTCATGGCTAAGGCCACTAAGGTACAAACTTGTGATGATGGAAGTGATGATGAACATGATAATGAAAATGATAGTGATAGTGATGATGATGAACCTACTAAAGATGAATTATTTGACATGCTGGAAGATGCTAAAGAACACTTTGACATTAAGAGAAGGGAATGCAAGAGCTTGAATAAGGAGGTAAAAGCCCTTAAGCAAGCCCTTGATGAGCTCAAAGCAACTCATGAGAGGCTAGAGGAAGCCCATGAGAAGCTTGGCAAGGCTCACAAAAAGCTTGAAAAGGCTCATTCCTCTTTGCTTAATGAGCAAGATAAAAAGAAGCATGTTGAGACTTGTGATGTAGGCTTAACTTGTGATATAATTGATGAATTATTATCTATGCCTACCATTGTTGCTCCCGCTAACCCTTCTTGTAGTACTTCTACTTTCACCTCATCTAGTAGTGATAGTCT